GGAGCTATCAAGAAAGACACTCCCCCCTCGTGTCCGGAAACGGCTTCATATTTCTAAGACTCCAGTCCCATAGAAATCATAGGAATTCTTGTGCCACCCATGCTCGTCGAACATGCCGACAAAGTAGCCCGTGACTGTCCCTCTATTCAGAGGCGGTTATAGCGAAGAGCTAGCTGGTCATGATGGTAGATACGCTTAGGTAAGTAACGCTTCTGACCAATACCTATTCATGGAATCAAGTTCCCGAATCAGAACCTGCTTTAGTCACTCAGGATTCCAATTTTTCCATATTCTGGTTCATTAACATTGAACAACTTTACTCAATAGGATGGAAACTTTGGGATTCCTTGGCAAGCTCGCTGCCTTATACATTGTTTAAGGGCTTCAGACATTATTTCTTTTGGTAGCTTCCAGAAAAGGAATCGATTCTGCAACCCACAGAGGTCGGCCCATATGAGCCACCTCATCCCTTACTCAAACTTCAGATCATAAGCCTGTTTCCCTGCATCCGTGACGTAACTCCGAGGCTTACTGCGGGGGCGTCATCGTAAAGGGAAAGGTTCTTCCAAAAATAGCGCAGCATTACGCTTAGCTGAAAGTTCTAAACCCAAAAGGGCAAAAAGCAATTATTATGCTCTTGTTAATGAGGCTCGCCAATTACGGAATGGGAATGACGACAAGTCCCTTTTTCCAGTTTTTTTCCGAAGCAACTAGGAATAACCGTTTTTTTGCAGCTCAGAATTCAGGCGCATTGCCACCTTCGCGTGCGTGAATCCATTACATGATGTGATTAATGGATTCGGTCAATGAGATTCTTTTCTAGATCGTGTCTTTGATACTAAAGATCACTTGAACACGCGGAGCAAGTAGTTCCAGAGAAAACAGGAGAGAGCAAAGAGGAAAAAGAGTGCATCGAAAAAATGATTTAAAGTAATATGTTAGTTGGTTGGATAAAACCTTTTTGCACGAGGCCTTTTCATCAAAAACACAAAGGGAGAGATATTCTAAAACCTCAAACAACTCATTATGACTGACAGCCGATAGTCTGATCGCAAGTTTCATTCCTCCCTAGTACCACAGAGCCGAGATGAAACAGTTCGAATACATTGGACAATCTCTTATGGCTCCTGCAAGCGGACTATGTTTAGCTCATATCACGCCCCGCCCAGTATCAAATTCCGGATCGATACTCACCCAGGCCAACCGACTTTTCGTCCCTAAGGGGTTGGTTAATTGGTTAGACAAGCCTCAGCCCCATTATTACCGACAACCGAATGTCTAAATGCGAGCTCCATTCCTTCCTGCGACCAGAAGGACTTAGGCGGAAAGACTGCCTGCTTGGATGATCTGATCCTTATAGTTCGCCCGAGCGGGCGAAGTGTAGCATAAACTGACGCACTATATTTTCGTGACTGAGGATCAAATGCCGGATCGATACTCACCCAGGCCAACCGAACCTTTCATCCTCCGGGGTCGGCCAATTAGTACCAGAATCTTCCAGGAGCTTAAAAACACTGATTTCAATATCGGCTGATCACCGCATGCCAATGTAGGCCACATAGGAATCCAAACCGCCATTACGATTTTCAATGAAACTGGAATGCGGATCGCATCCCAGAGACGGATTGATTGAAGACGAAGGCTTTATCCTTTATATTTACGGTCCCGAGAAATTCAACAAGCTATCCTAACCGTCTTTCCTGCTCATTTAGAGTAGTTAACGAGACAAGAAACACTGACCTTTCCTATGGTATCGACTAGGAGATGCAGAGCATTTGGATTATGTACAAGAGAATCCGTCCAGATCAGATGTTGCAGTTCACGTGGGTTTGTGGCGCAGTCGGTGGCACATAGATCGGGTCGAACCTCAACACGATTTGAAATTAAAAGTAGACTCATCAAAGTTCAACTAAATAAATAAAATCACACATTTGAGTAATGCGAAGCATTCCAACAAGGAGGCCCTTATGTAAGTGCCATGTACTTAGATCTTCACCTCGGGAACAAGACAGCGGCAGTTGCTAGCCTTTTTGTCCCCTTGACCACAACTGATACTCAGCTACCTTTCCGGATATCCTGTCTCTTACGCTTTCCTACTTATTTTTCGAACCTCCTTTGCTTACCATTACAGCGCATTTTATTTATTCCAATTATTTGCAGTACAGATGTTGATTTTGTAACTAAGCTGGTCAGATTTTCACCTTTTCTTTTCTTTTCCTACTTGACACTTCCTAAGTAGATCTCTCAGTTTCGCTCCTTTTCCTCCTCGTAAAGCCGACAATCCTTTTTTCAACTAAGTTGTCCCGACAAACCTTGTAGCCGTGTGCAACTCGTCCAGCAATAATGGGATATGAACCGCCTCCATGAGCGAAACAGAATCGTAGACGCGGAAATTGGAGCAGTACGTTGCCCATAAGGACACTACATATCGCTTGGGCAGTCTCCGAGGGCATGCCTGAATTTCGACGGGAGGGTATCATAATCACTCTCATTTGCACAAAATTCAGCTGTAAAGCAAAGAAAGGAAACGAAAGAAATGCATAATTTCAATTTAGCAATTTAATTAATTAATTGAATCTAATTTTTTTAAAGGTAGAAATGAGACGGTAGTCAGCGCTTGATTCATAAACCAGTCCCTACTTCATACTTCATAGTAGAAAGCGTCAATCAAAATCTGCATTCTACCGAGTTCAATTGGGATTATTATCTGTTATAAATAGCATGGGGCGGAGGTGGTGTAATGGCAAGTGGCGCACTATATCACACACACGGTCAGGGGTTCGAATCCCGTAGCGATATCGCTTAGGCCAACCAAGCCTTCCAACCCCTCGTGGTCGGTTAATTGGTACCAGACTCGTCTGGGAGTATAAATGCACTGACTTGTACATCTGTTGACCACCGCAAGTCATTGTATAGGTGACATACGCATTCAATATGCCACTACGATTCCGAATAGAAGTCGAATGCGTGGGCGCAACCCTCAGACAGGATTGATAATAGCCCCAAGACTTTATCCTTTTTCGGGGTTATGAAATGAACGCCTTATATTGAGCTGGGATGGGATGGGGGTAAGGTTTTTAGGATTCAATCTTAGTGAGCCTTAGGCTTAGACTTAGGTCTATCAAACAGCTCTGTGGTTCGGTTTCACAATCTGCCTTCTGAACTGTCAAGTACATACTGACAAACACAACGACGGGTAGTCCCGTACAGCACCAAAAGAGCTGGCACAACTTTACCTCTATGAAACAGAAATTCTCGTCCCTAAAAACTACTAGGATAATTTCTTTTTGGACGGATTTGATATTTGACTATCATAGTCCGTGGGTTGCTAGGTACAGATAGATACCGTTTCCGGAAGGGATTGGCGTCCGATTGCTAGGTCCATAACCAGTAGCTATTTCAAATACTTATTTGCAAGTTAAATGAGAAGGCAAGAAAAATGCGGTCATAAAAGATTGAGTTGCATTGAGAGGAAGCCCATCTACTGTGTAGGAACCAAGCTTTTGTTCTCGAAATTTGTCGAATCAACGATTTGGCCGATATCCTGTATAGAATCTTCGCCCTAATCTTCCACACTAAACGCCTGAAGGACCTGAGGGACGCCATTCTTCCATTCTTTGAAGCGCCTCCCATTACTTTTCGAACCAACCAGAGTAAAGGTCTAATTTGGAGGGCCCAGCATTTGCTGGAATGGTCCCAACCCATATTTTCTTCAGACGGACCCAATCGGAACCCCTCAAGGATAAGATAAGTAAACAGAACTCCGGAAATTCGGACTGTCGGCCATGAAAGTCAACCGTTAAATGGGCTGAGTGGTTACGCAGGCCTCTAAACGCGAATAACCCAGTGTCAGCCATATTTACGACTTTTGAATTTATTTTCAATTTTTTTCAGTAAGTGTGTGGTGGTTGGGAAACTATGGACTAAAATACCAGTAGAGTAGATGATGGCAGTCTGGGTGGGAAAAGTCCTCGAAGGGCATGAATGTTTTGGGGTCAGAAATAGTTGAGTGAATGTGGGAATCGCAATTTACGCATCTATAGAATCAAATTTCACACTAGCCCGTACTACTTTACGGTCAAGTAATTGTGAAAAATTGATGACTGGGAGATGGACAACGCAGGATTGTCCGCTAAATAATTTAAAATTGAAAATAAAGCCATGGGCCTTGAAATGTGGCATAGCTTGGATTGCGCCACGCATTGGTTAGTGGATCCGAAAGCATATTTGCCTGATCAAGCGACAACTGAGGGGTAGCCGATAGAGTGACCATTGTTTTAACCTCCCAAACGAGTAGGATCTTCAGGGTGGAACATTTATTGACCAGGAGAATACCATTTTGCATGAGTGAAATAGTAGTATCCTTACTTATTAATCTTGGAAAATATTTTACATCCTTTTTCGAGATCAGATAGAGAACAGTGATGTAGGGTAGGCTATATGCTGGCCAATGATCTATGGATGGAAACTCTGACATAATCTCACACCTAGCTGGGCTTACAATGGGAAAAGCCACGCGAGAGATTATATCATCTCATACTTCACCAAGGGCTACGAATTTGTTGACTTTTACCGTTGGCAGGTACGGGATGAGAGACTGGTATAAGCTCGTTTTGCTTAAATACTTTCCTACGGAACAGTTCCATCCAGCCGACCACTTGTCCAACTTGGAAAGAGCTTCAATTCGCCAGCTTTGCTCGGTGCTCAGTCTGTTATTTCATTCGGTGAAGTCCCTCATCCGCGGGAGTAAGCTTTAACTGGAGCAACTAGGAATACTCTAATAAACCTCATAGGCCAGTTATGGACAAAGCTCGGTCCCGGACGGAAGTCGGACCCGTACCCTATCCTACCTACCTACGCTATCCGGGCACCGTGCTGCTATCCCTCCACTCCAGTGAATAATGCAGGTGTTTCGTCTAATGCAACCTCTTTCTAGAAATGGGGAAAGCCTCTTTCAGAAAAACATGAGGCGGCTCCTATAGGAAAACCCCGTCCGTCGCCCAGCACTTCGTTGATCCTTTTGAGTGATGACCACGACAGTAGAGCTCAGCTTTTCTACTTGTTTTGGTTGGTACTCCATAGACGTGGCGTATTTGTGGAAATAGTTGGGAATCCATGACTCCCACAAATCAAAACAGTAAAAGTTCAATGAAATGATGGATCGCGCCACGTGTGGGAACTCGAGGCCCAGTAACAACGGTTGAAATGGTAGTACGCTCACTGTGTCTTAGAGGTAGGAATTTTCAAAAAACTCGGTGAAAACTCAGAGGAAACCATGAAAATCCGTTGGAAGGAAGAGGGTAGTATAAACAAAGTATAGTCGAACCTACGAGCCACGGCATCCAGTACTTATTGAGTCGACCATCCCAACTGTGCATGTCCCATGGATGGACAAACAGCACTAGGCCGAGGTCTTCGCAGACCTAAATCAAAACTTTCAATCGGTTTCACTTATTAATATGAAATTATCAAAAATAAACGTAACTTGTAGAGAGGCCAGAAATCCTTGTGATCTAAGCTTTTCTCACCCACATGGGAGCCAATTTCAAAGCCTCGGAAACCCATTTTTGCGCATCGACGGACTTCCTAAAATGATGCTTCAATTGAGTTTATAAGTTATAAAATGTCCTAATAAAAATCATTTCATTCAGTTTCATCAACAGTCGTCGAAACCTCGGCGAGAGATTTAACTATCCCCCCGAGCTATCAGCTGCGCTATGTGAATACCCGGCACTTTTTCGGAAAACTACGGGACATCCCACCGCTTGGGGGCGACTTACTTTCCGACTTTTTTTTGAATTTAACACGATCTAGAGGGCTGCAGAAGTACTTGGTTGGGAAGTGGTAATGGCAAGGCAAAGGAAGGCTCTGGGGCTATACAATGCACGGATCTCGGTGCAACTTCACACGTCCCCATGGGCACAAATAATTCATATTCAATGGCCTCTTTCCGCGTCCATGCTCAATGTTTTTTGAAGTTTCATGGAAAAACAACCCCCCCCCCCCAATCCTATTCGACAATGTTTTTGTAAGATTAACTCTGATTACAAGTACATTTTTGACACATTGATCACTTGCATTAATTTCAAAACCCCGCCCACAATTGATAACTCCGCCCAAGATGATGTAGATAAAATTGTACTCTTTATAAATCGGTGTTCTTCTTTTTTTAAACTCAGTATCTGGCATCATAATGAATCGCTAGCGATCCCATAAATTTTAGCTTGTGGGGCTTGCTTTCGATGTGTTCTGCTGAGCTTGATTCATTGATGAGATGCCTTTTCAGTCCGTCTCGTGCGCATTAAAATGCTAGTGAATTGCGTGCGGTTTCAGCAAGACGTTTGTGTGTGTTGTTGCTTTCATGGACGTCTTCCGCTATAGATTGTAACTTTCAAAGAAAACGAGTTACGGACTGGGAAAAGTCCCCCACTCGCATCAAATTCTGTTCGATTGTGATTGAATTATTGCTTTGTTGGGGGCGAATGTGTGGCCCCGAGGTTGTACTTTCGCAGAGGAATCTCTGGAGAATACAGCGTAACCTTTTCGGCTCTATGGAAATGGAGTAGCCAACGAAAAGACGCGTTCTACGTGCAGTCATGGCCACTTGCTCCGTGTCCATCCTATCCATGTGTCTCGCAACACTTCCGAAACGTTCATTGTTCGACGGCTAGTCTTTTCGTAAAGTCGTTGGCGAACTATGACGGACTCGTCAATAAGCTGGACAACTGAATACACTCTGACTGCTTCCTCTCTGCCACCTTTGCTGTTCTCCTGTCGGAAAAAAACTTTTCTCTCTTGTGGACCTATCTCGAGGACATTTTGGCGCAGTCAGAAAACCTCCGTCAAAGTAGCTCATCAGAAGTGACTGAATAGTCCAATCACTGGCGGCGACTTTGAGCCGACTCTTCTGAAAGGCTCTTCAGAACTGCTACGTGGACAAATGTAGCCAATTAGTGACACCAATTAACATTTAGTCGGCCGCTGTGTTAGACGACCAGGAGGAAATCGGATACGCTCAATCGAGACGTGCCAGTCAAGCCGAAAAAAAGACCTGCTCCAGTCCAGCTAATTACACTCGCTCTCGGCCACCAAGTTCGTCGACTCGTCTCCCTCGGCTTGCCACTTGCCCAGCCACATCAGCAGCAGCAACAGCAACCGCTATAGCAACTTTAACTAATATTTCCGAAAACGGGTATGGCGTACGCCAAAGTCCCTCGCCCTGTTGGGGGCGTGGTTGAGGCCAGTAATTGGTGGAGATGAAGGAGGAACCGGCCACAGGCGCCGCCCCATCCTCCCCTCACGGAATCAATGGAAAGGAGGTCGATTTGAGCTGGCTTGAAACGCACCGGCGAATGTATTACATCACTTTCCTACTATTGCTGCTGTTCGTCGGTTGCTCATGCAATGCAAGGTGAGCCAATCTGTGAATTAGGTGGCGATTGTAACAAGAAACAGAGCCGTAGATGAGGTGAACGAGAGTCTGGAGAGTAAGTGAGGGAATGAGAGTTTGCAGGAAAGTGAAATTATTGTGATTGTTGGGCCAAATCAGAAATTGAGCCCCAAAGGAGGTGGTAGGGGAAGCTATATAGATGCAGCTATTTCACAATAATAATTATGGTCAATAGGCAGTGGTCAAAGAAAGCGTGGGGCTCTATTTTAGGCTGTCCTAGTCGAGAAACGCATAGGAGCATTGAGAGTTCTGATACCTCTTCTTTTCTGCTTCCCATAGAAGACCTAATTTAACAGGGAGGAGAAGTTGAAGGATGTGAGATAGCCACCGTCGCCTTTTCTCATTTTTTTTGTTTATTTTTGATTTTTTCTGTTTGGAATGCTCGGTGATGTCATTGATATAGGATACTTTAAATTTTGTCCATTCATTGTCCATGAAGAACCCCTCGTTCACTCCCTTTGAACGGCAGCTTAGTAAATTTAAGCTCAGACCGTTATCAGAGATAGAATCCAGTTCAAAACTATCCCCAAAGCAGTAAAAGGTGGATTCCTTTTTGGAAAGTACAGCATGAGAAAGTATGGGTAAGAGAGGAACGGAGAGTAGGTGTTGAACTCCCACAGAAGAATATTTTTTTCATGGTTCTCTCCAATTTCTATATCACCTATTGAAGATTCCCACATATTTCCTTTCGTTAATGTGGGAAAGGACAGACTTTTCTTAAATATGAGAAAGTACATAAAAGTTAGAGGGTCAAAGAAATTAGCGAATCCCCCTGGGATGCTATCCCCCTCCCTTCTTAGCCTTGTTCAATTCTCGTATCTCGTATTGAACGCTATCCTACAACCCACTATCCTAGTTACTTGAAAAAAAAAACGAAAAAACCCAATTTCGCCTTCTTTTTCCTTGGTTTCATGGTTTCTTTTTCCTTTGCTTCTAGTCATTGCTTGTTTACTTTTTTTTAAAACTCTACTTACCCCATTATGTTCAGTTGAATGACATCTACAAGCCTGTTACTTCTGATTTACTGAAAGGCTAACTTCTCGGCTACTAGTTTTGCCCAACTATCTGAGGGGAATCATTAGCGAGCGACTCGCTCGCTATAATTGTCACCGAAGGACAATCGTTTTACCCCGAGTCGTTTTAGCAAGTCAACGATCGTTTAGCTGATTTTAAAATGAATCGCAAGAAAAAAATCCCCATCACATTTACGTGAGTCCATCGTCATTTTATTGAAAATTCTTCTTTAAAGGAAGAACCATCTGAAAAGCTTTCCCTTGTTTTTTTGGCTATTGGCTCTTTTTTTGTGACTGTTTTTTTCAAACTGAAACGTAAGCAAGCACACTTTAATCAGTGGTTTCCAAATTTTGTTTACTGTATCCTACAGGACAAATCCACCCCTTGAATATGGGGAATCATTTTGAAATTATGATCAAAGCCTTTTTTCATTCCCACAGCACCAAAGTACCGAATAATTTTTGACCCACTGTTTTTCGGTTCCATAGGAGATATGTAGCTAAAAGTCATGCCATTTCAATGAATCCTTATGTAGAATGAAATGAATAGTTATGTTTTCCAATGAGAAATAACATCTCTAGATCTGTACGGTGCCATCAGCTGTCAATGTTGAGCCGTTGGCCAAACTCAAAAATTTTCAAAATTTACATTTTTTTCACATTTTTACAATTTCCACACAAATCAGCAATGGATTCTCAGTACCAATGTTGTACAGGTCCGGCTGCACCACAAAGAGTTCATCGATCTCATTCTTCTGGCTTACATGATTTGTAACCGCTCATTATCCCTATCCTAGTAATTGAGGTTCCGGGCGATTACCCCCCTACTGAAACACGCTAGGAATCTATAATGATGGCATTTTAGAGCGACATCACGTCATTTATCTCCTCTGTCCAAGGAAATCCCATCCTACTCGTATTTTCATCGGTTTTCTGCTTTTTGGCCGATCGTCTTCCAATTTCAAAAAAATGCTTCCAATCTGGATTCCCAGTTGCTTTTTTTATTTTCCATACATTCAAAAACTAGTTATGGGCTCTTCATATTCATGATTTCATACCATGGAAGTTATTAAATGCAAAGATTATTGGAGAAAAGGGAAATTCGACGTTTTTCATCAAAGTACATCGTATTTTCGCTATGATATATTAAAAAGGTGGCTGAATGATTCATGTAGGACTACATCGAGATGATTCCTACGTCATGCCTTCAAAAGCGATTCATGGTTCTTTTTCTTTAGTTCTCCGGCACATTTTTTAAATTTTTTTATGAAACTTTTCAACCTGAACCTTTACATAGTATGGAACAGGAACCAAGTACGTTGCTCATTTCGAACTTTGTTTACGAATGACTTGATATCCTCGAAATATTATGGATGATTACAAGAGAATGTATCATGTAAGGCTAGGCTTAGTAAATGGATATTTTGAGGAAACGGAAAGAGCTTAGGGTTAAAATA